CAGCAGCAAAGGCAGAAGCAGCCAATGAGAGAAACTTCGGCAGCAGCATCAGCAACAGCAGCAGCAGCAAGAGTAGCAGCAGCAGAAGCTAGTGGGATTAGCTTCGCCGGCAGCAACAGCAAAAGCAGCAGCTGCAACAACAGCCGCAGCAACAGCAGCAGCAGCAACAGCAGCAGCAGCAACAGCAGCAGCAGCAACAGCAGCCGCATCAACAGCAGCCGCAGCAACAGCATTAACAGCAGCGCAGCCCAAGCAACAGCAGCAGCAGCAACAGCAGCCGCAGCAACAGCAGCAGCAGCAGCAGCAGCAGCAGCAGTGCTGACTAGGTAGCCTCCAATGTCGAAGTCTCTAAGAGAGAAACGATAGGCGTGAAGGCCGCACTGCAGCGAGACGTCTTCTTCTACTGCGGATGGCCGGGGGTTATCGATGCTTTCTCGTCTCTTCTTGCTGCTGCTGCAGCAGCAGCTGCTGCTGCTGCTGCTGCTGTTGCTGCCGTTGCAGCAACTGACGTTCTCTTTAGAACTCGCCTTGTGACCGCAGCAGCCACCCCCAGAGGCAATTGGCTTTGCAGCTTCTGCTGCTTCTTGCTGCGGAGCAAGGCGGTGGTGCTGCTCCTGCTGCTGGCCCTGCTGCTGCTGCTGCTGCTGCTGCAGCACCTGCTGAGAGTTACAGCCACCCGTCCCCACGCCCAGCATCATGCAAGTAAAAAATTGTACGCTGCAGCAGGTACGGAAACAACTGGATTGGCTGCTGCTTGCTGCTGCTTGCTGCTGCTTGCTGCTTCTTGCTGCTGCTTCCTGGTGCGGCAGCTGCTCGTCAAGGGGCCGCACGGTGTTGTTGCTGCTGCTGTTATCAGGAATTGCAGCTGCAGAAGATGCTGCTTTGGCTGCTGCTGCGGGGAGAGCCAAGCAACTGCTGTCTGCGTTGCTGCTATGCAGCAGCTAGGGAGTGCAGCGAGTGTGGGGTAGCCACTGCTGCTGCTGCTGCAGCAAGGAAGTATGGTGCATGTGGGGTTGCTGCTGCTGTTGCTGCATCAGCAGCAGATATACACACGGGGTCTCTTTGGATAGCCGAAGGGGAGGGTGCGTGGGAGACAAAGTGTTTGCTGCCGCAGCAGTTGCTGCTGCAGTTGCTGCAGTTGCTGCGGCACTTGCTGCTTCTGCTGCTGATGCTGCAGTGGATTTATACTAAGAAGTTTAGGAAGCAAACAGCCGCAACGGGGGGAGGAGTCACAATACTACTCCTGGGGTGGTGATGCGGGTCGGTGGTGGCGGGGTTGCGGCTGCAGTTGCTGCTGCTGCTGCTGCTGCTGCTGCTGCTGCAATTTTGACCTATATTTGCCCTGTTTTACTAATTAATATATTAATATTCAAAATTCATTTATGCATGCATCGGTGTCTGCTAACGTGCTGCGAGCGCGCCATAGGAGCTGTTGCAGCAGCTTGCGACCCAGCAGCATCAGCAGCAGCAGCAGCAGCAGCAGCAGCAGCGGGACGGTAACGTGTGACTGCAGCCCTGCGATGCTGCAGGGAGAAGTAGGCTTCCAAGGAAACGTTCAGCAGTTTTTACCCTATGTGTTTATTACTGCTGTTCCTGCTGCTGCAGCAATAGAAGCTGCAGCTGCGTTTCCTTCTGGAGTCCACTTGCTGCTGTTGCTGCAGCTGTTCCCGCTGCTGCTGCTGCTGCTGCTGCTGCTATTGCTGCTGCTCAGACGCACATTTCAGCTCTGTGCAGCAAACCTTCTTCGTAGCAGCATCATGTATGCTCCCGCAGCAGCAACTGCAGCAGCAACTGCAGCAACAGCAGCAGCAGCGGTTAGGGACCGCTTGACCAGTGGAGAGCCGATCACTCCTCCCGTGTTTTCTCAGTAATACAGAGCACAAGAGCGGTGTTGCCCTAGGGCTGCTGTTGCTGCTGCTGCTGCTGTTGCTGCTGCTGCCGTCGCTGCTGCTGTTGCTTCAGCACTTGTTCCCGCGGGTGCTGCTGCAGGTGTATCAGCTGCCGCTGTTGCAGCTTTTACTGCTGCGGCTACCTGCGCTGCTGCTGCTGCTGCTCATGCAGTCATGTCCTTGCAGCAGTCAGGGCCGCTTTCTCCCGAGAGTTCGTCGGAATGTGCTGCAGCAGCACCAGCAGCAGCTGCTGCTGCAGCGGCTGCTGCTGCTCCGCCTGCGCCTACAGACGCAGCAGCAGCCACGAACCTTGTCGTTTGCTCAGAAGAATCAGGTCCAGCAGGAGACTGTACAGCAGCAGCTCCTGCATCAGCAGCAGCAGCAACAACAACACCGGCAGCATCTGCTAGCGAATCTGCAGCACGTTGTCTACCAGCAGCAGAGCACCAGTCTGAGGTAGCAACCCCCTTCTCTCCAGCATCAGCAGCAGCAACAGCAGCAGCAGCAACAGCAGCAACCCGCCGAAACAGTTGCGGGATACACAGCAGCAGAGGCTGTACTGCAGCAGCAAAAAGTTGTGCTGCTCGTTGCCCCTGTCATACTCTGTCTTCTTGCAGCTGCTCCCGGCGGCAACGCCACGCACAGCAGCAGCAGCAGCAGAAGCAGCAGCATGGAGAGAATGAAGCTGCTGCTTGCAACAGCAACGGCAACAGCAGCAGCAGCCCTTGCGAAGGTGCCACTCTTGGACCTGAAGCTGCTGTAGCAGCAGCAGCAGCAGCAGGACCAGCAACACAAACAGCAGCAGCAGCAGAGGAAACAGCAGGTTTATTGGATGCAGCCGACTCCGTCGAAGGGGCAGCAGCTGCTGCTGCAGCGGATGCAGCAGCTGCAGCAGCAGTTGCTGCTGCTATGCAGATTCAGTGGTCGCTGCCTCCCCTGGGGCTGCGGGTTGTTTCTGCTGTATATTACGGTGGACTTATCTCTCGCTCTACAGACATAATTGTTGTTGAGATTGCACATGATGATGCTGCTGCTGCTCCTGCTCCTGCAGCAGCAGCAGCAGCTGATGGATATGATGAAGATGCCGGGCTGCCGGTGCAGCAGCGCGCAGCGCCTGCTCAACAGCAGTGCAGCAGCAGCGCAATAAGGCATCTACCGCCGCAGAAGCAGCAAGAACAGCAGCAGCAGCAGCAGCGGGAGCGGGAAGGGGTGAGGTGTTTGTGCAGCTTTCGTGCATACATGCAGCGGCAGCAGTTCAGCGAGCTGCAGCAGCGCGTGCAGCGCCTTTACCCTAAAGCCCCGCCTCTAGATAATGAGAAAGATAGAAACGGTGGCTTGTTAGGGGGACAAAGAAGCCGCATTGAAGCAAGCTTGAGCAGAATGACAACAGCACGCTTCACTGCTGCTGCTGCTGCCTTGTTTGCTGCCGTTAGACTCGGCAGCACCAAGAAGAACAACTGCAGCAACAGCAACAGCAGCAACAGCAGCAGCAGCTGCAGCAGCGGCAGCAGCGTCGCGGGTGAAGGCGCTGCCGCAGACGAAGGCACTGACCCACCAGCAGCAAAAGGAGCAGCAGCAGCAACAACAGCAAAGGGAGCAGCAGCAGCAACAACAAAGGGAGCAGCAACAGCAGCAGCAAAGGATGCGCCGGAAGTTGCTGCTTTTATAGGAGAGCTGCTGCAGCGCGTCGATATTATGTGCGACGTCTCCATTCAAACATTACTCGGTGTCAGGCAGCGACACGTGCGCTGCTGCAGCTGCTGCAGCAGCAGACTCAGTCAGCCGCACCCACTCTCTCCCCTGCTGCTGCAGCCGCAGGTCATGACGCTGCCGCTGCACAGCCGCCTCCATTCCCCTGGGGTGTATCTCGAGCTCTGGGATGCTGCACTGGCTCTCCTGGAGCCACCTGCTGCTGCTGCTGCTGCTGCTGCTGCGGTACCTGTTGCTGATCGTGCTGCTCTCGCGGGTGATGAACAGAAGCAACAGCAACGACAGCAGCAGAAACAGCAACAGCAGCAACAACGGCAGGAGCAGGAGCAGCAACAGCAACAGCCGCAGCAGCAGCATCAGCATCTGCAGCAGCAGCAGGAGGCAGAAGCAGCATCTCAGGTTCAGCAGCTGCAACGCCGAGAGTCATGCGCGTGGCTGCAGGGAAGGGCTCCGCCTCCATTTGTGCTGCTAACAATATATCAGCTATGGAACAACAGGGTGTCTTTGCTGCGGTTTTCTGCTGAGCGGCAGCAGCAGCGTCGTACAGCATCTGCTGCTGCTGCTGCTGCTGCTACTGCCGCTGTCGCTGGGGCTGGAACGCGGGGCGCAGCACCGCTGAGACACAGACGCAGCGTCATGCTGCTGCAGCCGCTACGAAGTGCTGCTTCGTTGCTGCTGCTCCCCAAGCCCCTGCCTTCTTCTGTGTGTGAACGGCTGGAGCTAGCGCTTACGCGGCAGCAAACAGCAGCAGCAGCAGCAACAACAACAGGATCAGCGGGAGCAGCAGCAGCAGACTGCGCCCGACGAGGCACAAGCACCAGCATCAGCAGCAAGAGAACACGGCTTGCTGCTACTTGCCAGCCCTCAAGACGCAGGTGCTGTCTTCTGGCTCTGTCAGCGCCTTCCCTTGTCTTTCTACCGTGGATTCCCCCCGTTGATGCAGCAGCAGCAGGAGCAGCAACAGCAGCAGCAGCAACAGCAGCAGCAACAACAGCAGCCGCAGCAGCAGCAGCAGCAGCAGCAGCAGCAACTGAGACGAGCTCTCTCCAGGAAATAAACCCACCCCAAGAAACCACAAAGACACTCCAGGTCTCAGGCTCCCTAGCTGCGGCTTTTGCTGCGCTGCCGAAGCAGAAGCAACCGCAGCAGGGACCGTCGCAACAGCAGCAGCAGCAGCAGCAGGAAGAGCAGCAGGAGCTACTGCTCCTTGGTGAAGAAGCAAACGAAGTAGCGACTCCTGCAAGTGCTGAGATGATGCACGAGCAGCACTCTGGCTGTAAGGAGGTTGCTTCGCACGACGACCAGCAGGAGCTGCTGCTGCAACAGCAGCAGCAGCAGCTGCTGCTGCAGCGCGTGCAAGAAAATGGAGAGGCACTGCTGAAGAAACTTGAGGAGTCCTCGCAGGTGCCTGCAGAGCTGCAACAAGAACAGCAGCAGCAGCAGCAGCAGCAGAGCGGGCTGCAGCAGAAGCAAGACGAGGACCCGCCAGAGCACGATGAGGAGCAGCAGCTGTTGCAGCAGCGTGAGTTGCAGCAGCAACGATCCGATGAAGAACAGCATTTGCAGCCGTATCAACAAGAGAAGCACCAGCATCAGCAGCAGCAGCAGCAGGACGAAGATCAGCAGCAGCCTCAGCAGCAACAGCAGCAACACCCGCACCAGCAGGGAGATCAGCAGCAGCCGCAACAGCAGCAGCAGCAGCAGCAACAGCAGCAGCAGCAGCAGCAGCAACAGCAGCAGCAGCAACGGCAGCAGCACGAGGAAGAAGAGAGAGCGCCTGTAGGGTACTCTGGCTACGACTCTGCCTCTAACAGCACTTTGAGCAGCAGCACTTTTCAGCTCGCATTTAGCTGTCTGCAACACGAAATTATGAAGACATCACGCAGGCGCTTCCTTTGCTGCAGCTATTCATCTCTGCTGTCAGCATTTTTCTTGGGAGCAGAGGACGGGACGATCACCGTGCTGCAGCTGGCAGCAGCAGATCCCACTCAGTTTTCTCCCTCTGCTGCTGCGGTTGCTGCTGCTGCTGCTGCTGGGGGACCCAGCAGCAGCACCTCTCCGCAACACGGACGCAGCAGCAGCAGATTCAAACGCGCCTTAGTGGGGGGCCGTGGGCAGCGCGACAGCAGCAGCAGCAGCAGCAGAGCAGCGCTAGCAGCTACAGAGCAGCAGCTGCAACAACTGACTGGCCGGGCCCTCCCTCGCACAATAAAATTCATTCGCGAAGAACCTGTAGACGTGTTGTCTGTGCTCTCCCTCCTTCTACCTCATAGCATTCAGGAAGACCCCAACAGCAGCAGCAGCAGCAGCAGCTCTAGCTGTAATCGTAGCAGCAGCAACAGCGGAGGAGAACAGCCCGTTCTCGTCGCAGCAGGAAGAAGCGGCAGCCTGATGCTGCTGCATGCAGCTACAGCTGAAGTTGTGGCGTCGTTCATTGTTCAGAGGGGGGGGCTGCTCTCTCTAGCAGATCCTGTTGCTGCTGTTGCTGCTGATGAAGGGCGCCTGCTGCTCTTCTGCTGTCACCGCAGCGGCAGCATACGGATGCTGCAGCTGCAACCAGCAAGAAGCAACACCAACGATAGCAGCAGCAGCAGCGCTTGCGTGTATCAGCTCATGCTGCTGCTATGCATAGCTCCAGGAGAACCCTCTTCGCATGCAGCTCCGCCCTACCCCCCGATAATCGCCTTAAGAGGCCAGCAGCAGCAGCAGCAACAACAGCAGCATCTGCTGCAGCAGCAGCAGCTGCAGACGCCTGCGTCAGCCCTTTCCGAACGTTTTGTGGGGACAGGTGATTTCCCTGGCGATGAGCAGCAGCACCTGCATGCGACGCAGCAGCAGCAGCAGCAGCAGCAGCAGGGGTGGAGTCTTGGTGGCAGCAACTTTGGAGACAGCAGCCACTGCACTGTATTCTCCGGGGTCACCTCGATACGCTGCGCGTGTGTGGAGGCAGACCGGCGGCTGCTGCTGCTGGGTAGCAGCAGCAAGCAGGGAGTCGTCTCCGTGTTGCTCTACAGCATTAGCAACAGAAGCAGGAGCAGCAGCAGCACCACAGCAGCAGCAGCAGCAGACGCAGACGCAGCGGGTGGGAGTGCCAGAGCTGCGAGTGTGGTATTCGTTACGAGGATAGCCTGCCTCGCGGAGACTGTCTCCTGTCTCGTTGTTTGGAGACAGAGAGGAGTGTTGATTGTAGGGGGTGGAGAGGGGGCGCTGCTGGTGCTGCTGCTGGATGCCTTGCTGCCCATTCTCCAGCAGAAAGCAGCAGCAACTGCTGTGGCAACCTCTGCTGCAGCTGCTGCAACAACCCCACAACAGCTGTTGGAGGGGCAGCCCTTTGCTGCTTTCCCTTCCTTTACTGCACAGCAGCAGCACCACCACCAACAGCCGCAGCAGCAGCAACCGCAGCGGGAACAGGATATGCTACGGGCTGGAACGAGTATTCAGAGCTGCAGCCGTTTGCCGGCCCCTCGCGCTGTTCGTCTGTCTTCCTTGCTAAGTCATCGGCAGCAGCCCGACGAGCACCAGTTGCTGCTGCAGCAGCTGCAGCAGCAGCAGCCAGACTGCGTAGGAGACCTAGCCCATCTGCTGCAGGAGAGAATGGCAGCAAATGCGGAGTGTCTGGTGCTGCTGCGAGCCCACAGAAAAGCCGTACAGCGGGTTTTTGTCTTCCCGAGTGAAGGGGTCTTCATGTCTTGTGGGGCTGAAGGCATCCTTAAAATGTGGCGTTTGCCTCCACAAAAATGAAGAGCTAGCTGCTCAGCTAGCCACTTGGCTAGCTACCTAGCTTGCTGCCCAGGAACATGGAGCCAGCTAGGTCTCTTTGCACGTGCACTCGCTGCTAGCTAGCTAGATAGCCAGCTAGCTAGCTGTCTAGATCGCTAGACAGGCAGCTAGCCATTCGGCTAGCTGCCCTCCGCAGAAGCCTCGTCAGGTTTTTTTTCAAGCGCCTCGCTGCGGGGACAATGCGCGCAGGTGGGCCGCTTGTCAGTTGTTTAAAAGAAACACAGCTGCAACGTCTCATGCAGATGCTGCAGCAGCAGCCTCTGTTGCAGCAGCAGCAGTGTTACTAGCAGCTCTCTGCTACTCCGTCTTCAAAGGCAAAGCCGAGCCCAGCGGGTGCTTGACGAGCTGCTTTGCTGTTGCAATTTTGTAGCTAGAAGGGCTCAGTGCATGCAGCGCAGCCGCTTCTTCACAGCTACGTTGTATCTCAGCCGCCTTTTGGATGTCTCGAGTCTTCTAAACCTAGCAGAAGCAGCGGGCATCAGCTCCAGCAATTCTGACCATTTTATACTCTGCCAGGAGCTGCTCCTTCAGGCTGTTTTGCAGAGGCACTACAAGCGACTAAACAGAGTTTGTAGTACAAAGTTTGAGTTGCAGGGAATACGAGAGTAAGCCTAGGGTTCAGAGTTTACGGTTCAGGGTTTAGGGTTCAGTGTTTAGGGTTAAGAGATTAGGCATCAGGGTTTAGGGTTCGCAGTTAAGGCGTTTATGACATCTGTCACGTGAAGGCCAATACAAATTTAGTGAAGCCATTGTTTGAGTGGACTTCTTCATGTTCATCGGACGTTCTTCCTGCGGAGAGGCTCATGCGTTGTTGTTTTCTTTGCATCTGATGTCTCTGACAACGTGCATGTACAGCGTCGTATGGTGTGCCTTAAACGAACTGAAACACGCAGAGATATTTTGCAAAGGCTTCAGGAACCAGAAGCTGCGCGTAGGGAGGGGGGATTGAATGTTTGTTCTGCATGAGAGTTTTTGAAGTGAGTAGTGACCGCTTAGAGCACTAGAAAGGAAAACAACGCGAGCTCCGCCACCAGCCCCATGTAAGTTATTATCGTAGGCCATCATCCATCTAATGTACGTCTTTCCGTTTTCCCCCTGCTGCGTGTACCTTTTCACTAAGAAGGCTAAGTGCAGCCGAATGATCTCTATGCAAGTTTAAGGATGCAACAGGCAACGTTTGATTCAAGAGAAGCAAACGCCAGTTTCAACATCGAATATTTGCCCTCACTTGTGAAGATCACTGCGCTTCAGCATCCAACTTTCAAGCGAAGAGCTTGCGGCAAAGCCATAGTTCCCTGCAAATGAAACAGCGAGGTTGAGCGCATTCACATCAGTGTACTCCAGTTCAGTACACAGGTAAGTTTCCGACGCAAACATTCAAACCGCAGATCCATCGAAGGATATCCTTGTCTTTCTTTCCTTTCCATACTTTAACTCACTAAGTTTCTTCTTGCAGACGAAGAATACTGCCATTGGAGGTTTCCACTCGACCACAGAAACAATGTTCGAACAGCAAATTGGTCAACTTGCTGAGCTTGACTCTGTCCGGGTAAATTTGCACTTCGCGTTGGGCTTATTTCGTTGTTTAATTCTATAATGAGAGGAGATGCAGCACCCCGTTATTCAGGCTCCTTGTAGTTTCAGGCACTTCTGTATGTCCGCATTTACAGTCTGTAGAATTCCTCGCTACAGCGGCTGAATTGAGTAAGGGTAACTATACAAAGTGCCAGACAGTTGGCATCACGATTGATAGCGAATGCATGCTAGTGTTGAGTATAAGAAGGCGTTAACTGGGTGTCATCTTCATGTAGCCGCGTTTGCCAATATCAATTCAGTATTTGACACTTTTCGGAGGACACAGTGCAGTTCTAGCAGATTAGTGGAACACAATGAATCATTCCTGCCCGCTGCGCATTACGAAGCCACTGCAGTTAAGCAGGACAGCTCAGAAGCTCAGCGAGAGGCACAAGATTGACCGTCTTGCTCTTTGCAGAGGGGCTTGCATTTGTCAACAAACATTTCAAACAGCTTCAACGCTTGCGAAAGAAAAATTGCCCCCAATAGACAGACTGCGAACAGAGTAGAAATGACGCAAGGTGATTCGTGGAGTACTTTAATGGAGGCGCGACTCCTCATCCGTTGAGCTTTTCTTTTTTATTGAATGAAACTCTGGAGGAGAAACGGCCAGCGAAAACCCACAAATCGTGTTATGCATGGAACCCAGCAATAGGACTGAAGACGCCAATCAAATACGGGACTCTGCTCTGCTGTCTCTATGATTCGCATGCCCTTTATTGGTGAGTCCTCAACTGCTGGAATGCAGCCCAGAATGTTACCGATTGCTTCGCTGCCGGGGACAGCATTTCAATGAATCTTTATTGTGGGAGTTATGAGTCCGTTGGACTTCTGTTAAAACAAATACTGGTTCTTCTTGATGGAGCGCTACCTCCATAGCCTCCCGTGACTTTAGTTTTCACAGGGTTGCCTTAGACCGTTCGCTTGGCAAGGTGGGGATAAAGCGAAGTCGCAAGAAGTTTCGGAAAGCCTGTAAGTTCCCCACAAAGTGATACACTTGCCTTCCTAAAGCTATTGTTGTTGCGCCTCCCCTTCTAGTAAAAAGGATTCCAATAGCAGCTGTATCCTCTTCGGAACATTTTAAAGACAAACCCATACCGCCAAAAGAAGGAACTCCTGCGCTACGCTGTGGTAACCGTCATATTTGGATTGTCAGCAAGGGCTTCTTCATGACTTTTTCTGCTGCAAAAACATCTTTGGCGTGAGATTAGGGCAATGCGCTCGTTCCTGTGCGGCACGGCGCCAAGCCGTTGGTCGCCTCCCCACCGGATGGCAGATACTGATCAATGTGCACCGTGTGAGAAAGGAAAAGGGCTGAATTTTTGCCATAGATCTTTGCGATAATATATAGTAGATTATTAGCGAAGGCCATATGCCTTTTCCGAAGCGCCTTGGCGACTAACCGGTGCTCTACATAAGGCAGCCCAACTTTCCCGACAGACGGGGTTCGCTGCTCTCACCCGCCCCTCTAAACCACCGGAAGCTAGAAATCGTAATGGGAGTCGCCTGTCTTAGCAGATGACCCTCATGCGCGGCGATAGAGTCGAAAGCCTAAAGGGATCACCTACAAAGGCGCGCTGACCTCCCACCTTGTTCCAGGTGTCCTGGCCGCAGCTGCCCAAGGGCACGGGGCCGTCGCTGAGAGGAAGCGTCAGGAGTTACCGCACACCTTTCTGGAACTACTAATGCAAGACAACCCCACATGCAAACATTACCAAACCAGCGTTGATGCATGCAATAACACTGTGCAGAATTGTCTAGTAATTCCGTTGCGCTCAATAGGCAGCCTGCACGCGAGTAGATTTCCAGGCAGCAACTTCAGACAAAATACAGTGCTAAGGGAAGAATCCGGGGCAGAGGAAGCTTAGAGTTAAAGTAATGATGAAGTTAAAGCACGATTAAGAGTTTTTTTCGTTTTTTTGTTCTTGCTTCATAGACAAGCTTGCACTTTGCCTATGCGGGAACTTCTGAGCTTCTAGGCAGAAGCCTGTAAATCTGCGGGGAGTCCGAGCTACTACGATTGTGAATATTCTGAAGAACACAATATTGGGAAAAATTCGCGTGTGACTAAAATAAAACTTTCTTGCCGATCTGTTTAGGTGCATGCTTCCAAGAGTGTTGGCAACGAACACCCGAACTCGATCCCCCAGCAGGTTTCGCTGTGACTGCGCATGTGGTTCGTCTTTTCAAGAATTTGGGAGAGAGGCCAGCTCCCTGGCTTATTGCCGATTTATTAGATTTTATAGCTTGCTTAAGCTCATATAACTGAACAATAATAGCCCAGTAGGGAGGGATTTCGCGGGCGACCCTCTGGTTTCCCTTGCCGAGCGGCGAAGGTTTTTGCTTTCTCTTCATAACGATTGCCTCACCTTATGCATGGATTAAATACCCTTTCTTGTTTGTGTCTTCTTTTTCGATTTAAAAGGTACCGGGTTTTCTCGAGCCTGGGCTGTATGACACGCCTCCCTAGGAGCCAGCAAGCACAACACCGAGTCTGTTCAGGAGTTGCTTTCTGCTACTCCGCGGAAAGTTGCAGTTTAATTAGACCACGCAAGTTTCCCCCTACCTTAGTTCTTATATCTGGAGGGAAGGGTGAAGAAGAGCGACGAGGTTTGCTACGCGCTGCAGGATGGAGCCGGACCACTTAAAAGGAAGGCATTACTGCGGTGGGCTTGGCCGAATTGTTTGGATCCTCGGATTGTTCCTGCTTGTTCATGATGTAACTGGTTCTGATAGTAGCCATGAGGCCAAAGGCGCGGGCTCCAGCGGTGCAGACCAGCAGCCCTCTCCAGACCTTGAGCGAGTTCCGGGCCAGTCTCAGCCAGGCGAGAGAGGACGTGAACCAGAAGATCCTGAGGGCGGAGAGAAAGTATACGCAGGAAGCTATCCAGGGACCGGGCTGAGAGGGAGACCAGTAGATGGACGAATGAGCGTACCGCAGGGAGACGGCCCAAGCGATGGAGATTCAGAAATGGGAAGCTGGGGGAGGACGCACGAAAGGCTTGGACTGACCGATGAACCAGTAGATGATTTTGTGACTTCACAGAGAAGAGTGCATGAGCAACTAGGGCTAGCAGACGAACCGGTCGATGACGAAATTCCAGAGAGGAGGAAGGAAGGCCAACCATACGATGAATCGATCGAGCAGAGTCATCTCATTTACACAGCGACTACTGGAACGACGTTTATGAACATGTTAGGGGGGTCTGGAGAGGATGCAGCATTTGGAGTTCCAGACGAATTGATTTTGGAGCAGCTTAGACGTATTGAAGAGGAGAACAGCAAGCCAAACAGGCGGGCCTGGCCCGTCATCGTGTTCGAGAACGATATTGTTGCGTGCGCATGCCTTGCCATCCATGACCTCGATAGTGACGAGCTTTTATACGAGGGGTTTCTGATGCGACCTGAAACCATCAACAAGGAGGAAGCGCGTGAGTTGCAGCTGATCATTTGCCTGTATTGCATAGCCACTACTTATTTGGAGCATCGTGCAGCTAGCTTGAGCTCACGCACTTTTGTACTGTTTGTTCCCATTTTTCACGTGCCTCATGTGCAGTACGGACACTCGTCAAGGAGATGTTGAAGCCTCCCGCCTCCTGCAGGGTAGACTACGTTAATGTGGTAACTGCTGCAAGCGATGGGCTGCTGATAGACGCGCTGGCCAGGGCGGGAGTTGGCTTGATGCGCTACATTGAGGATCCGAGCGGATTTGGAATGGGAATGTACTCTTGGAAGATTGATATGCCATACTTAGGCAGTTATTCTGAACACCGACATAGGCAAATCGAAACGATGGGTAAGCAGAAGTCGAGCCGTTGCACGGTAGTTTGCTATTGCCTGTACCGTTGAACTGCCCATCTACGCTGTATGACTTCCACTTCATGTGGATAGTGCATTCCTCTTCTAGTGTATAGACACGTTGACAGATGAGAGCTTCGCATGACCGGTCAGTCTCGCGTCTGCTGCAGCCGGATTTGCGGTGTTTTGTACTTCATTCTCTTTATTTGGGCAGCGCTGGAGTCACGTCTAGAGCTGCGCGCTGTCAGGTAGCTCTCTTATTTACCAAGGTGCATATTTGTGGATAAGGCGGGACTTGAGAACCCTGTTTGCTTGCGTAGGGGAACAAGTATATGTTATGAGGCAAAAGGCTGGAGTAAACGATGGGATGCGAGAATATTTGTCGAGTAAGGTCATCTGTAGAAGAATTGAGGATGAAACCCCGAGTGCTTAACACCAAGTCACAGATACACTGCCAACCAATGCAGCCAAAAGTTGCTAAATTTTAATTAGCTTTGTTGATAATTTTTGTCCGCAGCGTCGGAGCGCGAAGTGTTTGACACAGTTGTTGTCAAAGCGAGTTCGGCGTTGTCACCTCAAGAACAGATGCGCGCAGCGAGGTTTGTACGCGAAAAAGCTAAGGGAGAGCTGTACCGCGGAGCTGTTGTAGATTCTGGCTACCCCACCAGTTTCAGCGTCGTTGGTGAGCTGTTTTTTATCCCCCAGCCGTACAAATGGGACCTTGTATTCCTGTTTCGCCTGCCAAAAAGCTTCAACTTCCATATGGCTGTGATGGGGGTCTTCTCTGCAGCTGTTGGCAATGAAACCGGAACGGTTTACGGCGTTCTAAAAGGACATGTTGAAGACCTGACTTGCACAATCGAGTTTCTAGGAGCCAGTGGCTTGCACGAAAATTTTGTTGGTAAACTACCTCCTCTTTAAGACGGAAGTTGCCGACGCAAAAACTGTTTACCGACGAATCGTTTAGGTGGAAGGCGCATAGAGATGCCGAATGCTGCTAGCTGCAAAGGACGGGTGCATGAAAGAGGGTTTCTGTTGGTCACTGTGTGTGCTTGTGCGCTAATCGTGGGTGAAGCATGCTTGCTGTGTTTGCGCTGTCGTGTGGTTCGTTGGCTGTTGCAGAGGCAATGCTGCTTGCGGATACACTGCCGTTCATGGAACGCCTGGGTGTAAGAAAAGTAGTACTGAAGAGCATACCGATCTGTGATGCCGGCATGGTCGGCCTTGCAGCAGAGTTGGGTTTCGTTATTAAAGCGAGTTCAGGCGATTCACACTTGATGGTCAGAGATGGCTCCCTCCCTCCACCTGATACAGACTGCATCACCTTACCTCGATCATTCCGTAAGTGGGCTTGCGCTTGTAGCGTTTCTGTATTGCAAAAGCTGGTTCGAAGCACATGCCGCGTGAACACACTCTTGTTCTGTTTAGTGCTTAGGGGAAGCTGCGTTGTTTTCATGCGTCCACGCGCCGTTGCGTTGTTCAACCTGATGGCAACTTCCGGTCTATGTGCTCCGTCCTTCCTGCCTTAGGTGCGCAATACGGAGTTCTCAAAAATTTCGAAGGCCGCCACAGGGCTCCTATTGACGGCAAATATCTGGACGTCCTGGAGTTAGCTCGGATGATGGTCTATGAGGCGCCTGGGTTCATCAAGAGGAGGACACAGGAACTGTTTCTGCAGGTCGGTGTAGTTGTCATTATTGTCTGCTTGATCATGATGGCGCGCACCCTACAGCTGGCACGAAAAAGAGAGGCCCAAAGAAAACGCGTGCGCTACGCGCATCTACCGGACGACGTGCAACACGAAAGGGAGGGTGCGCCGGCTGCGGCCGTGACCGAAGAGTATGGCAGTGAAGCACAGTTGGAGGCTGTCGGTCATACCATGTGAATGCGTGGCGATGTATAGCTCCGCATTTCTCCTCCCCTAGCCTCCAGCGAAAAGACTGTGCAGTGCTACCTCCCCTCATGCCCGGCAATGAAGGGGCTAATGGCGGTGCGGGGTTAATTGCACAGCGTGCACGGAACTGAGAGTTGTTCCAGGCCATTCAGGAGGATAAACTTCAGGTGTGGCCCATACTGCACTGGGTGGGAAGGGGGATATGCCATTGCTAGAACTTTCTTTTAGCCGCTGAGGCACCAGCTGCCCCCGGGTTATATGGCAATTTGCTGCCATTTCACCAGAGCGCCGAACAACCTGGAAAGGCGGAGTGGGAAGGTGAAACTGACCATTATTCGGGGGCATGTCGATGAGGCTCGTCGGTCGGCATCAGGCAGGGGAGACGGGAATGGCATGATGGCGCGTCATGCAGTTCCTATATATATTATATATATTCTATATGTTTTATATATTATATATATAATGTATATGTATGCTAGCTTTTATGCATGCGGTGCAGGGTTCTAAAAGTTGCAACTCGAATGTGCCTTATGGGTAAGGTGAAACCGCGTCACCTTTTTTTTTCTATTTGAGTTACAGTGTACGGAAGTTTCGAGCTTCTGCTTGGGTTTCCAACTCATCCGCTCTACTCCACTTCTCTTAATCTAACTCCATTTTTTCTGTCCAACAGCTTTCTCCAATTTTTAACAGCTCCCTTGAATTCGCAAAGTGGGGACGCCCGTATAACCCCATGGGAAGATTCCGTTGAATAAGGTGACAGCAAAAAATGTCCCATCCGACTGGGATTGCTAGAAGCCGTGCTCCAACGAAGGGCAAATGCACTGAGAAGGTTACAGTGGTAGTGTAGTCCAACAGAAGCGTAGCACCACTGACCGTTAATTGTTGCAGTCCAATTGTCAATACCTGAGGCGCAAGGAAGGAAGACATTGGGCGAACGAATTTTCGCAGGAAGGCTACTGCAACTACAACTGCTAATACTGCTACAAATGCTGCTACCACTAGTACTACTACTAGTGCACACACTAGCCTTGCGGAGATCTTTTCCTACAGCTCACCAATACTTGTCTCGTACTTCGTGTTCAGCGTCATGGAACATCTTCTTTATGATCCCGTAAGTCACAATACCCGGCCACACCCACCACCAGTAGTATGCACTAAACTTCGCCCACGCCCTGCAGGTCAACGAAGCAAAAGGAAGGTAAGACGTGCGCGATGTAGAACATTTTGCTTCGGGCTCGTGCATTTCACCAAGCTATCACACTAGGCCAAATTATTCGTAATTCTCTTGGAGTAGCAAACTGGAGGAAGAAGAATAGGAGGATCTTCACAAAAAGATCATAAGAACCAAAACGTCCGCAGCAATAGGCAGGTCTCCCTTAGCAGAAGCCCTGCATGTATGATAGTTTCTGCACGAAGTGAATAAAGAAAAATACGTTCACTGGAGATCGGCGTGCTTGAGTACCTCGCGGGGAAAGTGTGCCAGAATGGCCAAAGGATCTTCATCTGGAAAGGAGATATGGTCTGCTGGATATAACCTCCATACGCCTTCATGCGGTTCTTCCATAGCAGCTCTTGTTCTGGAGGGACCGGATAACTTCCAAGAGTCACCTGCTGGAACCTGGGAGAACCACGACAATTCAGAATGCCGCCGGGGGTCAACGCCCGACGCAGTAGAGTTGGGTGGACCCGCATCTTGTCGGGAAGCGAGACTGCCTCTCTGCGCCTCTATATGATATAACTGAAGTGCATAAAGATGAAACACGGACCTTGGGAATAAGTTTTTAAAAAAACCTCCATGTGGACCAGCCACAACCGGCAGGAGCTAATCGGTACTTGTCCACGCATGCACGAACATAGTCGCGGGTAGAAGCCTTGTAACGATGAACTTGACGACATTTCCGCTATAAAATGCGAATTTGCAATCAATATGTTGTACTAAAGCCAATTAATTAAGAGTTTCTGGGTTAACAGAAGCACACAGGCCTGTTCTAACTAGCCTGACTGCGATCTTCGTGGCATCCCTCCTACTGCGCTGCTTGCGTAGCGTGGTCCTTCCGACACTACATGTCTATTTGCTTGCAGGATGGAAACTAAGGGCCAGGCAATTGCTTAACAATTGCCTACAGTGTCTTATGGATACAAAAGGTATTTGCTGTGCGTGCCGTTGGGTTGCCCTGTAGCAGGTGCAGCTACATCCAGGGCTGTCGCGAGCAGCAACAGTCAAAATAGGTAGTGGGAGAGTTAGCCCACAGCAGTTGACCACCCCTCCAGCTTCCAGCCGTCCTCTGCACAGCGGCACAAGGGTATGGGCTAGAGAAGTAATGCGGATGTTGCTAAGCATAGTCCTGTCTGAAAGTTGGCTGCTGACGACTAAGTATGTGTTTATCGGTTGCATGCAGAATTTGTCCATGAATCAAATGGGTGCTTGCGTGCGTGTGGGGCAGCCTTGTAAGAGGGGCTGCACCAAGGCATGTTGCAACCCATGGCAGGCTGCCTCAATCCAGCACTAGGCCCACGGGTTGCTGTGCAGAGGATCCCTGGAGACTAGGTGAGGATCTCACTTGAGTTTTGGAAAGTCATGCTTAAGATCCTATGACTCCAATACTAAAATGTTCTCGGCTGAGTTCGAAGACAGTGGTTTCACTCAACTTTCTTCCAGCAGGCAAACTGCGAACGGCGAACTGATCAAATTGGAATGACACTGAGTCTTCTGCACTGTCTGCAGATCCCATCTTTATTGGTTGTATCGCCATTCGCGAGAAGTGCCATGACCAACAGTGAAAGTAATAATACCGTGTACCTACACATGTATCTTCGGCAGAGGCCCACCAGCGTCCAGCTGACAGCCTTTCCAGACGTCCAAAAAGAACGAATGAACCCCTATAAGAAGCTGACAAAGTTAAGAAAAGTAATTTTAGACGAAGGTAGGAGGAGCCCACAGTAACAAGGTGCGCACATGAATTAATGCATAAACCACTCTATCATACTATGACGGCATTGCTGTGATTTTTCGCGCACGTGTTCGTGCATCGAGAAGCTGCCCCTACTGGGACGATACGGATATTAAATTTTGTCAGACAACCCCTGATGAATATTAGTAGGTTGCTTGTCTATGCATGGCTGAGCTGGGTTGGGTGCAGCCTTGGGTGCAGCCTTCTGCGGTAAGCTTGTCTGGTTGAAAAAGGCATCGGTCATGGCTTTCTAACGCTTTCGGCAGCACTCTTCCCTTGTTGGGAAGTGCAATCATTTCGGAATTATCTATTGTAAAAGACAGCGCTTATGCAGAATCCAATTTTTAGGATAGAAACCCTTCGCCACAGTCACACCGAGTACTCCAATACAGGTACCTGCGCTCAAGGACACATACCTTCTACTCCTATTGTTCTTTTGGTGGCCGTTTACAGCCTCCATTGTGACTAGATATATTTCTGACGAGACCAGCAGCTATATTGGAGGGCTGAGGGCTCTGCTATGCCGTGAACAAACTTGGTGACTCAGCTAGAGTCAAATTCAAGCGAGTATTTGCATTGGCTGTTACGTTGAAAGGTGTGCGTGGCCAACTCAGGCGACTACAGGCAGAAGTTCAGAGGTTAGGGTTTACGCTTTTGTTCTGACCAGTGACCAAGGCCAAACGACAACGATGCCTGCAGGTGTTATTGGGAATTATGCATATCAGGAAATTCAGTCGAGAAACAGGTGATACTAGGCTATGGAGAAACGAAAAAAGAAGGACAGACATTCGGGGCAGGAGGAAATGGTATTCAGGAGAGCTGCAACAGCAGTTTCTTGAAGTCCAGCCGCAGCTACGACACCTGTGACCCACCAAGCAGAAAGGGTAGAAACAAAAGGGCATAGCAAGCACCATTGAACTGGAATCCAAGTAAATTCAGGCCTAGGGAAGGGAAAAAGCCCCAACTTGGTTCATCAAATTGGGGTTGCTATCATACAAACGGTACTGCGAGTGACGGTGGCTGTGCGTTGAGGAGGTAACTATCCACCGGAGCAATAACCACATCCCTGAAGAAGGTCGAGGCGTTTGTTGACAAGCAAAACCTCTCCTTTTAGAGGAGCATCTTCAACGAACACTAGCTTATCTCACGTGTAAGTACCCCAAGCACACGAGAACGGGGGTTCACGCGTTGCAACAGGCCCGTGTGGGTCAGTCGAGGTTATCTCCAGCTCCACTTTGCGTCCCTGACTCTTTGGATAGGAAGATTGTCTGCTGGAATTATCTTCACAATTCTAAACTGTTGGACACCTTTGCTATAAAGTCGCTCGTCCCACTTGTCTGATATTGTCCAACGGCTTGCGTCGGTTGGCGGCAGCGCACGTCGGCCGTACTCGGCTCACAGAAATCACTCAGGAAGAGCCGCTCCAGTTTCCTAATATGGGAACTAGAAAAATAGAGATAAGCACGAGACTCTAAGGTGAGATAGCACTAAATAGTGGCTGGCCAACTGGGTTTCAGTGCACATTCAGGTGGTTCACATGGATGGTCCAGTGGGTCGACTGCGGATGGCATAAGCTAGCGGGGTGCTACAGGGCAATGTTTTTCTCGCGGCATTCAAACAATTAGAAAACCCACGCCTCCTAGAGTCATTTGATGCTGTGCTTTTATCTCCTTTTCCAGTGTCACTTCAGTTTTTCAGCTGCGCATCCCCGTTTCTTCCTGCAGGCCACGCCGCACCAACTCCCAGGTTGAGACTGTGTCCGGCAGAAGCTCCATTAGAGACAACGATCCAACGTTAAAAAAATGTCCCTGAAGTCCGAGTTTCCATATGGTAAAGTGGTGTCCTTCAGGATTGGAGAACTTTCAGCTCAATCAGTTGATAACTGCACTGTACAGCAACCGAGGATGTGCAGCAACGGCGCCAGCATTACCGACACTGCAGAGGCATCTGCACAGAAGCCACCGAACAGGCCTCCTAAAAGGCTGACTAGGATGTACCTGAAGTCTTTAAAGAAGAATTACAAGAGACAGAAGGCGGCATACTTGCGAACGCATACACTGGACGAGTTCAGGAGCCTACAAGCTGAAGTAAGAAGAGAAGAAGGAATCGCCAGTTCATCAGTCAAACAATATTCTCTGTGGCCTTGTGCGCAGCTTCCTTTGTCTCAGTCAAACACCTCTAAGCGTGAATCGCCTATCGACTCGACGGTGCAAGACGTCGGTGGTTGCTTCCAGTCAGCTTCGTGTCGCGCAGTACACAAGAGGGCGATGTTGTCTCGTGAACTATAAACCAACCCCTCTGTTGCATACCCCTCTCCCAAACTGGAGGACGTGCCTGAGAGAAGCAAATGTGTTTTCTCATTCTCACAGGGATCCGGTGGTCCCAACTTTCTGCCAGTTGGATGCACGTCGGTAGCCACCAGTTGCAGCCCGAGTAACACGTTCCTTACCGCAAATTACATTGGTTTGGTAGCCCACCTAGCTTACGTTTTCGTTAAACGGACCTTATACGTTGCTGGCAGGTGCGCATTCACCTCTGAGTCCAGAGGGCAAGAACTATCGCAATTTGATAAGCATTTCCTTGCAAGAGATTAAGTAAAACTGCTTTTGCTGTTCTGTGCAAGCTCTCCAATCCAACCGAGGGTGCCTCCCTTTGTACTGATATGTTGTGTTAGCGTACAGAACCTTTAGCAGCCTACATTTCTTCCACTGACTGGCTCTCTTTTTCAGATCCAAAGCGTATGCCCGCTTGGGTGCATAGCACCTAGCCCTTGTCTTTTGTTACTGAAGGATTAGGGTTTTCAGAGGGTCTCCAGCTTTAAGTAGTGCATAAGGTGTAACCGGATATTGAGCGTACTGTTTTTTAAATCAAGAATGCTCTCCAGGGCGATTGATCTCGGGTTAAGATATATGCTTGCAAACTATGCTATCTATTTGGAAAATTGTAGCAGCCTTTCGAGGCGATCAACACTTGAGGCAGCAAAACTGCAATGGTACTTTGGATACCGTAAAGCAACAAGCAACGCTGCGTCATGGTTGTGCTCAGCATGGCTCAGATTGTGGCGTCGTCGAGCCAGAAAGCATTTTCTAGGCAGGCTTTCCTGCCCAAACATACACTGACTGTTTCGCTGGTTTCCTTCGCGGTGACCTTGCAGTGGCCTTGCAGGAAACGGAGTGCCTAGTGTGTATACTAGTTTGGCTCCTGCTCTGTCTTGGGGCAGTAAGTTTACAAATATGGCCAATGTAGTGAAGAGTAGACAGTTAAAGCAGCTGAAGCGAACTTCGTTGGAAAAGATCTGCTTGTTTCGTCCCTAACTACGCATGCATGCTCTGATTTTGGGATTCTGGTTGGCTAAATCGGCATGGAAGATGGCAAGGATTCCAAGGGCCGCCAGTTGCAGTACACTTGTATGGTGGAGCAGAGAGCCAAGACATATACTTTTTCAAAGAGTTGCTACTCGTACTTTTCCTGAACAATGAGGCAAGCTTTGAAGATGAGAGACGTATCGAAGGCTACCCGGTAGAGTTGGTATTTGCTGGTGACGTGCCCATGGTATTCCAGGGCAATACGGCATGCGCTAACAGGCCGAATACTCCTGGTTCGTATTGCTGAATGCCAGTGGCTATACTGTGTATGCCTTTATAGTGCGCCGCTCCTCGTCCACTCAAGTTTTCGAGGCTTCGTGGCCGGAAGCTGCTCTCTCACGGTGCCAAGAACACGTTGCTCGTCCTGTCCATCTTTTTCGCGGGGTAGGGGACTTCCTGCTTCGTATCTTCTCGAAGGGAAGAATTAGCCACCAAACCAAGAGCGCCAAGACTGGTGGGATGGGGAAACTCTCTTCCTTGGAATGTAATGGCATCGAGTTTCTATTTCACAGCATTAATAGTGGAGGCATGCACTCCGGCGTGGCGCCCGGTAGTAATTTCATTGTTGGCCTAGCAATGATGTTTGAGTTTCGTCTAGACAGATGTGCTTGGAGTAAAGTTATTAATTATCCAGTTTGTTTGCAAAAAATGGCCCCCTGGTGGACAGGTATTCAGGAAATCGGCTGAGCTGTGGATTCCTATGTCTGTGGCGTGACTTCCGAGGTCACTGCCCCACCGAGAGACTCGTTCGACGTTGGCAGATCCAGCGAGGTATATCTGAGAATTCTTGGAGAATTACTACACAATGTCGTTCTTCAATCTACTAAAGGAAGCTAGAAATGGAGGCTTCGCGAGACTGGGAGGCGATGGAGTTCCCGAAAACTCTGCCAGGCACGGGAACACATACCACTCACTGGACGAAGCAAGGCGTGGGTTTTTGATTTACACTCACCCAAGGTTTTAAGCCCATTTAATATTTCTTTACAAATAGGATAATCCGGCTTGGGGGTGTGAAAGCACTAAACGTCCGCCTCCGGGCTCCGCGTTGCGCCTGCTTTCCACTCATTGCCGCAAAGCACCGCTAGTCGCAACGAAACTCCGAAGCGCAGCACACCAGTTGCGCGGCGTGATTTCCATCCATTATTGCCTTTTCTCCGGAATCCTCCGTCAAGTAAAACTGATTTTTCCCGCACCTCAACCACCGACGGAGCTCCAGAGCTTTTCTCCTTCCCTGAGGTCACTTCCCGCACACCCACAATGTTGCTTGGCAACTGCGTGGCCTTAGGCTCGTTGTTCCTGTTGAACGCAGCCGGAACTAACGCATGTAAGTTTTTTGCCTCTTCCAAAATCAATGTCGCCCATCTTTCACGGGAGGACAGGCCAGCGTGCACCAGGCAGTACCACACACACAAACCATCGTAGATTCAATGATATGCAAGAGTACCAGGTGCATGTTGTTTCTCCTTCGAATTTGACTCACTACTTAGCTTCACTGAGGTACATGCTACTGTGGGTATTGTGCAACTTGTGATTACGCTCAGATGATGGCCAAAATGGCCCCGCGCCACCGCTTCGTCGGCTGTTTCCCTTCATTGCGGCATCTGAGCCCACTGTAGGACGAGAAAAGCCTCTTCGTTATCCTGTGGGATTCCTCACACAAGCTGATTCCTCACGGCCAGCAAGCCCCTCCGAGGTTTCGACGTCCTCTCGCGCAGCGGCTGGCGGGCTATCGAGTTCGCCAGCAGTGGAAAGCTCATCGGACGACCCAGCACCGACGCCCTCGAGTTTTTCATGGTTTTATCCAGGAGGTGAGTCTGACTCACCTGCTGCCTCCCCCAGCATAGTCTCCCCGGAGACAACCTCCGAGGAGAGTGTGTCATCAGAGAGCTCCGAGCCTTTGGACAGCTCCCCGTTAGGAAGCATCATTTCAGTGGGCTCTAGCAGTAGTAGCTCGAACCAGATTTCTTCCTCTGGAAGTCAATCGGCGTTCCAAAGCAGTTCTGAGAGTGGCGATAGTGCAGTGCCTTCAGCAGGAAGCTCTTCGTCCAACGAAGGGTCCGTCGACAGTTCCATTCCCATTACAGAGGAGCCTTCAAGCAGTGCTTCAGCTATTCAGGGTGGAGGACCCTTGCCAGCATCCAGCACTATTTCTAGCAATAGACCATCAAGCAGTGCTCCAGTTATTCAGGAGCAGGATTCCGCCGTTTCCAGCACGAGCCGTCCTCAACCTGTCTCCTCACCGCCTTCACGTGAGGATGAGAGTGCTGAGAGCTCCACTGGGGAGTCTGGTTCGTCTGTGGAACAACCAGGCTCGTCTTCTGAAGTCAAGTGGTGGCGCACAAGGCCACAGGCAGAGCGTAGCCCCTCCTTCAGCTCTGACAGCTCTCGAGTTGTGACAGACGAAAGCGAGGCAGCCGACTCGAATTTGACAGAGGATGATGAGGCAGAGGACGCTGAAAACGCAGATGATCAGGCTATTCAGTCCCTCAATGAGGCTTCCCCCGAAACAGACAGCGCTTCGGAGGAGTTACAACCGGAGATCCAAACCGTCGATAGTGACAGCGGTAGAGCCGACGTTGGAGAGCCCCAAGAAGATGAACGCCTCGATAGTGACTACGGTAGCTCCGATGTCGCTGAGCCCCAAGAAAGTGAACCCCTCGATGGTGACAGCGGTAGGACCGACGTCGCAGAGTCCCAAGAAGATGAACGCCTCAACAGTGACAGCGGCAGGACCGACGTCGCAGAGCCCCAAGAACAGGAGGACGAGGCAGGCGCCGAGGAAGTAGTCTCCAGCGAAGAGGTTGACAGCGCAGAGGGTGGTTCATCTGCTTCAGATGCCGAAGAATCTGACTCCATCGAGGAGGTTAGCAGCGCAGAGAATGACGGATCGCTTGCGGACCCTGAAGCACCCGAGTCCAGAGATGAGTCAAGCAGCTTTCCAGCCAATCGGGAGCAGGATTCTGCGGTTTCCAGCACGAGCCGTCCACAACCTGTCTCCTCACCGCCTTCACGTGAGGATGAGAGTGCTGAGAGCTCCACTGGGGAGTCTGGTTCGTCTGTGGAACAACCAAGCTCGTCCTCTGACGATACGGAGTGGCCCGCAAGGCCAGAAGCAGAGCGTAGCCCCTCCTCCAGCTCTGACAGGTCTCGAGCTGTGACAGACGACAGCGAGGCAGACGATTCGAACTTGGCGCGCATTGATGAGGCAGAGGACGCTGAGGGCGCATATGAGCAGGCTCTGCAAATCCTCAAGGAGGCAGCCAAGGAAACAGCCAGCGCTTCGGAGAAGCTACACCAGGCGATCCAAACATTCGAAGATGAACGCCTCGACGGTGACAGCGGTAGAACCGGCGGTGCACAGCCCCCAAAACAGGCGGACGAGGCAGGCGCCGATGAAGGCGTTCCCAGAGAAGAGATTGACAGCGCAGATGCTGAAGAATCCGAGTCGAGAGGTGAGGTTGACAGCACAGAGGATGAAGCATCAAGAGATGCGTCTACATCCGAGGAAAGGCCCGGGAGCAGTGAGAATCCATCTGAAACGAATTCCAGCGATGAGCCCGCGGAAGCAGAGGAGGAAAAGGACCAGGATATTGATGCCGAAGAGTTGCTCGTAGCTTCTCAGAAAGCCAACGAGGAGGCTGAATCACTTGAGAAAGTCGCCGAAGATGCCCAGAATGCAAGCGATGCTGCCGCTTCTGACTCTGATGTCTCGGAGGGCTCGGGTGGGGACAGAGGAGCAGATAGCAATGAAACGAATGCAAGCTCTAATAATGGGGATGTCTCCTCCAGTGAGGATGGCCCCGAAGAAGTGCAACCCGTAGACGAAGAGGCCAGGGGTGGCCCCAAAGAAGTGCAACCCGTAGACGAAGAGGCCAAATCGGATGAACATTCAGAGACCCTGAGTGAAGGCACCTCCGAGGACAAGCCAGCAGATGAGCGGAATGATCGCGTTGAATCCAATGCTGCTGAGCAGCAGCTCGCGCTTGCAGAAGAGTTGGAAGCTGCTGCTGAAAGAGCGCAGTCAACTGCGGATGCTCTAGAGAAGGCTGCAGAAGAAGCTCACCTGGCGGCAGAGGCCGCGAGGTCTGCCCCGGAATCGCATGCTAGCTCCGCAAGCGCAGCTGCAGACGACGAACAGGACGCAAAGAGACGCGAAGAACTACGAACGGCGAGCCAAGAACGACAAAATGCACGACAAGACAGGAACCAATCTGAATATCAGTCTGGAGATCAGTCCGAAGACCACCTTGATGCGCTGCCTGAAGATCAGTCCGAAGATAAGTCTGGAGAGCAGTTTGAAGAGCAATCTGGGGACAGCTCAGAGGATGAGGCAAGGAATAGTTATGAGAATGAGTCCAGTGAAGATCAACAGTCCGATGGCTCACCCGTTGTTGTTCAAGTGGCGCAGCCTGGCAGCAATTCCGCATCGACGGGCAGCTCTGGCAGAAGGTTGGCTGCAGCCCAGGAAGAAACGGAAGCCAAACCTGTTGTCAAGCCCGTTGCTAAGCCAGTTGCCAAGCCTGATGCTAAGCCAGTTGCCAAGCCTGATGCTACTCAGCCGGCTGCCAAGCCTGATGCTACTCAGCCGGTTGCCAAGCCTGATGCTACTCAGCCGGCTGCCAAGCCTGATGCTACTCAGCCGGCTGCCAAGCCTGATGCTACTCAGCCGGTTGCCAAGCCTGATGCTACTAAGCCGGTTGCCAAGCCTGATGCTACTAAGCCGCTTGCCAAGCCTGATGCTACTAAGCCGCTTGCCAAGCCTGATGCTACTAAGCCGGTTGCCAAGCCTGCGGCTAAGCCTGATGCTCAGCCAGTTGCTAAGCCTGATGCTCAGCCAGTTGCTAAGCCTGATGCTCAGCCAGTTGCTAAGCGTGAAGGCGAAGAAAAGCCTGAAGGAAAAATAGCGCCTTCAGAGGAAGAAAAGCCTTTAGAGGAAGAACAGCCTTCAGAGGAAGAAGAGCCTTCAGAGGAAGAAGAGCCTTCAGAGGAAGAAAAGCCTTCAGAGGAAGAAAAGCCTTCAGAGGAAGAAAAGCCTTCAGAGGAAGAAAAGCCTTCAGAGGGAGAAAAGCCTTCAGAGGGAGAAAAGCCTTCAGAGGAAGAAAAGCCTTCAGAGGAAGAAAAGCCTTCAGAGGAGGAGAAGCCTTCAGAGGAAGAAAAGCCTGGAGAGAGTCCTGAACGTGGTCCTCCTCAAAGACCTGGACCTGGCCCTCCAAGGCCTGGTCATGGTCCTCCTAGGAGACCTGAACGTGATGAGGGTAGAGAAGAGGGCCGTCCAGGCAGGGGATCAGGGGGCCGAGGTGGTCTTATCCCAAGCAGGCCTGCAGGCAGGCCTGAGGGCGGCAACGAGGGGGATCGTGAGAACAAATGGCCTGTAGACCGGAGTTCTGAGGATGCAACCAGCACTGCCGAGTCAGGGAGCGAACAGCACGACCAGGAAACACAGGACCAGTCGCAACTAGCTGAAGACCTGGAACTCGCAGCGAAGGAAGCCCGAGAAGCAGCATTACGGCTGCGTCACGCAGCAGTTTCCGCGCGCAAGGCAGCCGCCGCCGCCCGCAAACAAGCGGAATCCGCTGGTGCTGAAGATGGCCTTGATTCCTCTCGTCCCACCAGCGCCACGAGGCTACAGGACTCGGACGCAGAGAGTTTCGATGATGAGGAAGGACGGGGGAACCTTCACCGCAGCGATTCGGCTGAGCAACAGGAGAGAAGCGGTAACCAGAGTGTCAACGGCGAGTCTAGCCGTGGATCTCTGAGCCGCAGTCTCCGGGGAAGTCGCGTGTAGACAAACATTGCGACAGCTCAGGTACGAGAACAGCCGGCAAGTAGCCTGGTTTTTGCAAGCACCCGCAGTGAGAGAATGATTCCGGTACTCTAAGTGGCCAAACACTGTTCGTCCCACAGATGAGTAGACCGTAGAGTCTTCTCGAGATTGCCCTTGAATGGAACCGCAGTTCGCAGCTAGCATCACATCACCTCCACAGCGAGAGAATGGCTCCGGTATTCTCTGTGGGTGAACAGTGTCTCACAGATGAATAGACCGCAGAGTCTTCTCGACTTTTCTGCTCTAATTGAGCCGCATGTCACAAAGCACAAAGTAGGAATTCATCTGCACCTGTTGCGCCCGAAGAAACGCAAGGGATGCATATCATTTCATAAGCATCGTTTCATGGTGATTTTTTACGTCGAGAGTCCAATCACTGCAGTTTAGTGGTTGGGTTCTTGAAATAAACAAGAATTCAGGACTGTATACAGGAAGGAGCATTCTCTCCAAGCAGCGTAGTGTGCACGTATCATTATGCCTCCTAATGCAAGCATGGCAGCTTTTTGCTATTGAACTAGGCTTGAAATGCTAGATTGCCACAGCTCATCAGCAGCGCAAGCGGAACTGGTCCCTGTCTCATTTCTGGATGGCCACGGGATCGTTATGGCGTTCTGAGGCGAACGTATGCCGTGCCACTCATTTTTCCTCGTCGATGAAGTTAAGCAGTTTCACCGCACACCACATTACACGCAGCAATGACCACCCAAGAATGGTCTCTTTCCTTGGGTTCCCCTTGCATTCAAAGCCATATAGTCTCCCAAAGAGTCCAATCACTTTACAGTGGTCCTTCGCAGAACAAGTAATGCACTTTGAAATGTTCCCAGTGTTCCCCATAGATTGTCGCTAACAGCAAGACCTGCTGGTCAAATTCTGATGCTTACAGTAAAAAGATATGAAATGCCGGCATTGATGAACTAACAGAACTGCTGATGCTTTGTTTCTACTGTCATGGCACTCTTTTTGACGGTACTTTACTCTCGGATAGTGGAATGCACAACACACAACGCACCAGCACCCCAGGGGAACATTCAAATGTGTTTGCCGCGTGGTCGTGTGTGTGATTTTTTCCAGTGCAAGGTGCCTTCCTGTCTGTATGTCTGGAATCATCCGTTGCCATTGCTGCTATGAGTCACGTTAACAAATGGAATAACTCAGTGTGCTGGGAGTGAAACGATACTTCTTCCCGCATTCCTCCTCTGCTTCTGTTTAGCTTTACACTGAGATGCCCATGCATAACCTGGGCAAAACAGTATTGAAATCTCAGTGTTGATGATACCTTAACCGTGCCAGAGCGGCATACGATGTTCTGAGAACTGCAGAATTTCGTATGGCGCTGTGGCACGGCGAAGGTATCATCAACTTTGGGAAACGAGAGCTAAGGCTTTGCTCATGTGGCGGCACCCAGAGGCGAATCTTCCTGCTTAGGTCTACCAAGCGCCTTGGGCATTTTGCCGATTTGCAGCTCCTGCTGTTTGTAGAAGTGGGGAGCGACTTCGGCAAGCCATTCGGGCTTGACCTCGCAGACGCTGCGCATGTATTCCTTGGTTGTCAGGGCGAGCTCTGTGTATACCACAAAACGCGGGTATTGCCCAAACAAAGAAGAGTGTGGGTGAATTTCTACAGTGTGCGGATGCTTCAACGTAGTGAAACTGCCTTGGCGATTCAGCCGTGCCGCCTGCAGACAGCATGAACCTTGTGAGGTCTGGGGAGTGAATAGTACGACAAAAAATACATATTTACAATGACCTAAAATTAAAATGAAGGCATGATTTTTGCTTGTACAGTGACTTTTCCAGCCAAACAAACGGACTTGCTCGCCCTACCAGTACAACAAAAATACCATTGAAAGCATTTTAAGTCTGCAGGACTTTGAATTTACCATTATACAAATTTCTACGATATACTAACCACGACAGTGGCACCGGTCACACCCTTAGGTGACGTGTTTTCTGCAAGTTCCTGACTGTGCCGCTAGGGAATCACCTTTCTTACCTGGGTAAAAAAACCTGAGGTTATGGCTTTGCGGATGGGTTCATCAGCTCCCTCGCAGGATTTCTCCTCGAGCTCAACGCGCTCCAAAAGTCCCTGCAGCTGCTCCCGCACGTCTCGCGCACGCTGCATTGACCTATGCTGCACAAAGTTCTCGTAGCACCAAGCCACCGAGTAGCCTACAGCACGCAGCGCACGCAACGAATGCTTATTTGCGCAAGCAGACGTGTGTTTCTCCATACATCTTTTTGCATGCTCAACTGGACGCGCCAACTCGCGTACAGATGCTCAAGAGATCGGCCCCACACAAACAGCGCAACGCCCCTGGTTGCATTCACCCGTTTTGCTCTATCTGCTTGAAGGTCTCTGAACGGCATGATGAGCTACTAACTAGCTTGTGCTACCTGCGCAGCAATAGGTTCGTCAGCTACTGTGAGGGGCTACAAAACCAATCAGAGGTGATGCAGGATGCATGCGGGGAGTACGAGCTGAGGAAGCAGCAGCAGCGGGAAAGCAATAACAACAAATGACCTGTGTCTATCCACTGCTCATAAACGTTGAGGAGAGTCAATGGGTCTCCGCCGGGTTTTGCGAATGTCTTTCTGGCGTTGTCTGCGTGGATGGCTTTGTCCTTGGGGCGGTAGAAGAGCATATTTCCCACGCCCAGCATGGCACACACGGTTAATGCCTCAGATACGCAACCGTACTTCTCGGAGTTCACAATAAACTTGCTGAACATGGGGTCTAGGGGGAACTCCGCCATTCTCCGGCCGAGTTTGGTGAGCTCCCCCTGAGTCGCCGCACAACATAACGGGGAATTGAGAATGCTACTGGTTACAAAAAATGTCATTGCTACGATGTAGTGCCAACGCAGTAAGCTACTTCTCCAGCAACTGGTTTCAGTAAGACCCTTTGTCCTTCTCTCGCTGCAGATTAGATGAAGAAGTGCAACAAGCAACCTGCCACCATCACAGAGAGGGTCTGACGCCTTTGTTAGTGCGTAACAGTCAGGGAGAGGCAAATCAAGACCCCTGAACCTTACACCCTAAGCGCCATATGTTCCAAAGAAACCCTCACTCCGAATCCCTCTCAACCCACTATAGCTCCCACACACAGATACCATACCGCCTCAGACATACGTGCAAAACCATCGATTCCCTGCCCTAAGCTCGAAGATACAGTGAAGCTTCCATCCCGGTGGACGGAGACTTCCCGCCGAAGCAGCCTCTACGGGATAAGGTTTTAGGGTTGGCTGATGGCGTGCTAGGGGCACCTGGTCGTTGAGAGCGGCGAGAGCATAGAGAAGCTCCAAGGCACTAATGAGGGCTTCTGGGGCTGGGGGGTCCATGAAGTCGAATTTCAGGAGATCGTCTATTCCGAGGCCTTTGAGGGTAAGCACGACGTGACTGAGGTTCGCTCTTTGGATCTCCGGCACATTTGCGTCCTCCATCTCCTTCTCAAAAGAGTATCGGGTGTACAGACGGAAACAGTGCCCAGCACGCACGCGTCCTGCGCGGCCAGACCGCTGGTTCGCCGCTGCCTTTGAACAAGGCACCGTCACCAGCGCGTCCATCCCTACACGCATGCGTTCCAGCATGCAAACAGTGCATGCACACCCAACTATCCTCATCAAACCAACCCATACTGAGAGGTGCGCGAGACGGGAGCCCCACACAAATGCCGAGACAACGCCCTGTGACCACGTCCTCATGTGTATCTTTAAATTATTATTCTGGCTTCCCATGGTTAGTATTATCTTCATTGTGCCGCTTTCTGTCACTCCTAGCATGTCTACCCAGCTATCAGTGTACCTCCCTCTGCGTGATGTCTCCTCCCGCATGCACGTTGTTGCTCACCTGTCTTGGCACTGTATTGGTTTTCTCGGCAGAAGCCGCAGTCCACGACGTAAACAACCCCCTCGAGGGTAATGGAAGTCTCGGCGATATTTGTGGCGAACACTGCCTTGCGGGCCCCGGGTGGAGTCGGCTCAAACACTCGTGCTTGCTGGTCGCCTGGGAGAGAGGAATACAGTGGCAATACAATCAACTCCGCAGCCTCCGTTCCGCGGCCTTTCAAGCTGCAGAAGCACCAGACACTCTATGCAGCAAACGCCTTCCGCCCCCTCTCTGCAACTCAAGGTCATCGTTCCAGTGCTCAAAACAACAAACTCTTTCAGCGCAACCAACCAAACAGACGCGAGAGCAAGGCGGAAGAGGGGTGTCAAACAAGAAGCTTTCTCTTAGCTCCACCCTACAGCGACAATTGCAACGAAACGGCAGCAATACTGCTGTTGCGGCCAGCACGAAGGAAGGCATCCCAGGACAGAGATGGAAGAGCAGCGGGGGAGACGCTTCCAATGGAGTGATTAAACGAGGAAACTGAAGTAGAGAACCAGGCCAGCGACGCAACGCACGCAACAAAGACTCCTTGCATATGATGGATTTCATCTAGTGCAGGTGGGGCGTGGGCTGACCGTCTCTGTATCTCCTCAACGGCCTCGTCGATTTCCTGTTGGCCCGGAAGAAAAAGCAAGATGTCTCCTGGGGGCTGTGTGAAGTGTAGCTGCAGGGCAGTAACGACAGCAGCATCTAAGAAGTTGGCCTCGGGACTCTTCGTGTAATAAATCTGGACTGGAAACCGCCTCCCAGGGATTCGAAATATCGGCGCGTCATCGAAGTACACCGAAAATTTCTCAGCCTCCAACGTTGCCGAAGATATTATCAGGCGAAAGTCCTCGCGATACCTGTACGCAAGATAGGGCTTGCAGCGCATCCGTTCTCTTGCGTGGGAGGTGCCAGCCAGCCTCACAAGCAACATTACTTCAAATGTTTGGAGCGTTTTTCCAGCACGCACGAGGGAACCTGCAGACTAACTCATCCCCAAGGTAGCCTGCGGCCTTCGTTTACAGCGCGTATCGAACAAAGTCTCCATTGCTGTCTAAACACGCTGCACATTCAGTACAGGGTCTGTTGTTAAGAATGGAAATAAACTGTCAACTCAATGTGCTTTCAAACAGAAAAGTGAGACCAGAACAATGCCTCCCACAACACGGACGCATAAATATGTAGAGTTGTAACACCTAAGTGTCTGATCCACCCCGCTAGCTCCCCGTGTCCAGTCGTACGAACTGCCCGTACACTTCAGTAATTGCCTGCACACTCGAGAGGATAACGCCGGCCTCCTTTAGTTCCCATACTGTCTGTCACCTACAATCGCCTAGAGGCAATCGTGTGCGTTTCCATTAATAACTACTTTGCCGTGCGCCCATCAGCTCTTCCCAGAAGGCAAAATAAGCCTAGATCCTAAACCGTAGACCCAAAGCCCTGAACACGGAGAAAGTTGGAGTACTGCCCCAGGTTGCGGAGACTACCTGGAGAGGTCCTTGACAAGGGCGAAGAGGACGTCTGTGTGTAACGTGCGCTCGTGGGCCTCGTCTATCATGAGGGCAGAATACGACTGAAGGTCAGGCTCGGTGAGGAACTCCCGTAGCAGCATTCCATCCGTCATGTACTTTAGCTCCGTTTTGTCGCTTGTGCAGTCTTCAAAACGGATCGAATAACCCACCTAAGCCGCACATGCCGCATGCAACTTCTGGCTACCTTCAGGCAAGCAGGCCAGTGGCCTTGCTAGCCAGCTGGAGAGCCGGCCAACGGAGTCCGGCTGCCTCAGCTGGTATGAAAAGGGCTGCGCAGCTGAAAAGAGAATACCCAGGGGCTAGCGGGCGTCGCTGGTCTAGGGCTGGACATGTGTGAATGCATAAGGACTAGGGCCTAGGTTTCAGGGTTCACCTCCAATCCTAAGCGGCAGCCGACCTCCTGAGCCACTCGCGCTGCAACAGACATCGCTGCAATGCGGCGAGGCTGCGTACAGCCGACCACTCCTGCCTTCGCATATCCAACCTCCCGCAAGAACTGGGGTAGCTGCGTTGTCTTCCCCGATCCAGTCTCCCCCACAACAACGAGCACAGGATATTTCGCCACCGCCCGCAGAAACTCCTCCCGGTACGCGTATACAGGGAGCAGCCGACGCTGCTCCTGCACCACCAGCAGCAGCAAGGAAGATTCCACCCGACTCAATCACGCACGCAGCAATACCAGCAAATTCGACGGCTCATTGGCACAAACACTTACACCAACGTAAAACCGTCAACGAATACTATGCATGCGGGACCTCGCAGCTGGCGAGCTAGTCAGCAAGCCAGCTAGCTTCTAGCTAGCAATGCGCATGGCTGCAGCGTGAGAGACAGGAAAAGGGTGCCGACAACGCCCGACAGAATAGCGGACACCCAGGAAAAGGCCGAAGCCAGGTACACGTCGAGGCGAAGAGAGAGAGAGGCAGCGAGAGGGAGAGAGAGAGAGACAGAAAAGGCAGGAAGACAGGAGAGACGCAACAGGAGAAGACACAAGCAAAAGGCCGCGACAACAGACCTGCAGACTCTGACCCTTGGCTTTTTGGGCTGCTTCTGGTGCTTGCGCGGGCTTTTGTGCGCTGGCATCTGTCTCGGGAGTAAGGGACCCGTGCATCTCTCTCGCTTCGAATTCTATAGCTGCTCCAGCCTCATCGACAAGCTTGTAGGCGGGAGCCTGTTCTCTGCCTTCTTTGGCCCCGAAACGGGCCAGAGCTGCCTGAGTCTTCTGTTTCTCTAGCAGTTGCTGCTCCGATAGCTGCTGCTTTGGTTCTTGATAGGGCTGGTGCATCACGCGCAGACGCGCCTGTAGGTCTTCATCGTAGGCCTCGGGCATGATATATCCTTCGATCTCCTCGCGGCCCTGCCTCTCCTGAATGGCCGTTTTTGCCAGCTGGAGAGTCTCTTTTCGCAGCTCAAGGGCCCTCCGCTCCTCAGCAGTCAGTTTATCTCCAACTTGGCTGTACAGCCACTCCCTGTCCTGGACTTTCCTCTCCTGCAGCAGTACCTGGTCTCCCTCCCTCTTCTTGAGGTAAGCGCGACGGGCCTCCTCACGCAGCCGTTGCATATATGCCTCATTGTCCTTCAGCTTTTCGTTTGGACGTTTCTTAGCCTCCAGCAGCACATCTTCCACCGTCCGGAGCTCCTTTACAGGCTCCGCTGCTGCTGCTGCTGCTGCTGCTGCCTCTTCGGCCTCCCGCTCCAGTTGTTGCTGACGCGCAGCTGCAGCACCCACCTTTTTGTGCGAAGCTGCATCTCGCGCGCGCAAGCGCGCCGCAAAAGCTGCTGCTTCTGCGGCGTCCGAGACCTCATCCGTCGGGCCTGCAGGCACGCAAACAAACAACGGTTACGAGTAAGGCCCTACGGTTTTAAAACAGCGAGGCGCATGCGCTTCAAAGTGCCAGCCAGTAAGCGCAGCGAATGCCTCCCCAAAAATACATCAAAGCCAAAACAGCAGCTACAGCAACCGAAGCAGATATCAACGGCTGCAAAAATTCTCTTGTGCACGGTGCATTAGCACTGTGTCCGTGAACACCACAAGAACCACCACGGGCGAAGGCCTAACCATTTGCTTCTTCTTCCCTGGGTCGCTTCCTGCTTTCCCGTGCTGCTACTTGCGCAGCTTCTTCAGCGGCTGCGGCTGTCGCTGCTGCTGCTGCTGTTTCTGTTGCAGCTGCCTCTGCTGCGGCCATGCGGCGAAGCAGCTCGGGGGCAAGGGCGTCGGCATCCTGCTGCGAAAAATGCAACTCCTGCTGCAGCGTTAGGGACAGCTGGTGCGAATTAGGGGCTCCTTCTGCTGCTGCTTGGACTGCAGCCACGAGGGAGCGCGTAGCAGCCCCCACGCGGCGTTGCAGTTCCTCCCGCAGCCACGAGGAAACCTGGGGGAACGACATTTAAGATGTACGGTCCAGTGCTTGGAGCTTAAACTCGCTGCTTGCAGTCCTTAGTCGCAGCCGGTACTGCCACTAGGCACCTGAAGAATAGAGACAGGGCGAAGTGCGTATACACCCCAGAACAGCCCTTACGTATTATCTTAAACGCGAAAAAAAACCTTCATGGCCATCGTCCAGAGCAACGATAGCCTCCCCGGGAAGCGGGCAAAAATCGTCCGATTTCTATATATTCACCAATTTTCACATAACAGAGGCAGACTCTCCAGCAGGAAGAGCCAAGGCCTCGTCACCCCACACGCCGTCGAGCCACAAGCTCCTTAGCCACCGTTATCCCTGCACTTTAGCAGCCAGCATATAACAAACATAAATACATACGGATTAAAATAATCCAAGTCACTTTGCACGATGCGACCTAGCACGGGGCCCCCAGGAGCCCGGGGGGCCCCAAGTGCCTCCCTCGGGACCCTTGGGGCCCCACCACCAACAGTATCCGCAAGCCGTTCACTTATGACTCCTTTGGCTAGTGAGGATTTTAATGTTAGGATTTACTGCTTATCGCCATGGTCTAGAAGGGGATTTTTGTTTGCCATTCATGTTTTCAGTCAAAACTGCGGATGCTTTAGCTTCTGTGTATTCTTGGACGGGGGGTTCTACGAGTTCTAGCATGGCACGCTGAAGTGGTTAGATGCACTACTGCTTGCTTGCAGGCTGCTTACTGTGGTCCAAGTGAGTGTTTAACAATTGCATGCAGTGATAGTGCATGCTCCAAAAATGGGTGTGCGCATGCCAGCGCACGTGGTTGGTTGCCTTGCAACAGTATTTGTAACCTAGTGTGCTGTAGTTCATGATATTCCTCCTCCTTTAACCACCACGCTTTGCCCAGAATGCGCGGAGGAATTAGCAAGTTCTAACCGTTCCACTGTGAGTAGTCTCTCCTTTTTTCAACCCGTTAAGGGTTGCCCCACTCCCGGGGATAGATATGCTATGATCCACTAATGTTAAGGATCCGAGTGTACCGTTGGACTCCTGTTCACCCACGGCTGATATTTCTCATTCTAGCGCTCTATACACACCTTCCCCTATTTTTCTGTCAATTCTGCCTAATTATGTTCCCGTGCCTCCCCTTGGTTAAACATACATCGCAGCGCATCTAGGAAAGCTTCTATAGTCCCGATGTTCTCCCGAAGAGTGGTGATCTTGCCTAGACATACGCACCATTGGCGTGCCTTCCACTTCTAAAACGGCGCGAGCAAAAAACCAACTGTAGGCCCTTGAGTTAATTTGGAGTCGAAACTACACCTCCAGAAAGTAAAAGAACGCTTCCGCCTCTCCTGCATCGTGACCCCCGTCATACTAATATGAGTAAAGGACGCGGATGCTCTCTTCATGAATTTCCTTCCTCGTGGTAAGCTTGTCAAGAGCATTCTTGGTCGTATGGCCTGCGGAAACTGCTGTCACTACAATGCAAGAGGGAGACCGGGTTTTAGTCTTTTCCCCGGGAGAGGGCAGATCCTGGTGAACCTCCATTGTGAGAGAGGAGAAAAACGTTGAATATTTGAAAACTATTTCTGGGGGGAAAATGGCCTCACGACTAATCAGTGCTGTGTAGCAGACACCTCTGCTGTAACGGGGGTTTTTGCAGCTCGCTCCTGCCCCTCTTGGCCATGCAGGGCTACCAAGTGTAACAAGTGTCCTCGATCGATTTTTTTTCCTGTTTGCGAGCTGCGGGGAGGTCAAAACACGTGAGATACGAGTTTCCCAAAATCCTGCCTTCTGGGCGGTCTTCACGTATTCTCCGCGCAGCTGCACAGGGGTCTTGGACTCCTGCAGAGAAGAGGCTGCCTCTCGTGCAGCAAGGCGTGCTTGCAGCACACCTTGCTGCAACTCCTGCTGCAAGGCAACCCCCAATCAAACACACCTAAACCATTGCACTCAACAGTGTAGGCAATGGTTAAATCCTTCCCTGGCTCCTAGTTTCTCGTGCGAAAGATTCTGACCCTTTACGTCTGAAGATCGTCCTTGGCTCAGTTCGTAGACCGCAATGTCACGAGTTCCCTTTGAATTTTGGGTTTAGGGGGCCAGTGCTTTCATACACCACGCCCTCGAGAGAGTGAAAAATGCATGGAAGAATTATTAGTTAGGTTGTGGGATTGAAGCGAGAGGCAAGTTGAATGCAAATTACCACCGTTTCCCTCCAGTCCCCAAAACCCTTTGTACAAGATCACAAGCCCTTTTAAGGGAAAATTCAAACGCCAGATGCTGCAATTAGTGTTGTTCATGGAACAACACCCAAGGCAAGACAATTAGGTTCCCGAAGCCCCACAAATTGGGAGATGCCGCTGACTACGGTTTTTCCACGCTTAAGTTGAAATGTCTTGCATTACTGTAGTTTGATTTTATGCTTTGCTTTCATTTGTCTGTGCGCGGGGCACCAGGCGTACACGGACATCTCGGTTTTTCTGGAGTCCCCTTCGTACTGCTGCCTGCAATAGCGGTTTCTTGCCGGAAAAACCTAGTAGTACTTTCTTTCTTGAGATCCAAGCTTCAACGGCAGGTTCAGCCTCCTTTTGCCTTTCTGTTGCACCGGAAACGACGCATTTGCGATACATATTGATTGTGCATTTGTGGTCTTCGTTCCAGAGGAATATTGACTGGATCGCTGGGAGGACAAGTACCATCTTTCGACTTACGGCTTGAAAATAAGCATGCTTCAGCTGCGTATCATTAGGATTATAGATGATTCCTAGAAACGGTCAATTTCGTGTGGGCTTCCTGATCAGCCCTACCAACTGCAGTTTTGCTGAAACGGAAGCTCAAATCTTCCTGTTCGCCGACTGCTGATTTGGTGCCCAAGAGAAACTCAGGCCGCACACATTGAAACAACAGTTTTCATAGCAATTCATACCCCTTCCGCCGCCTCAAATATTAGCACGAATCGGTTCAAAAGTATGAATTATTGCAGGAAGTACTTGACCGCCAGTTGCCCCAGCGCTTTTTCTTTTTCCTATTTTTTTTCAGAAGATGATTTGTGCCCTATTGCAAAAATAACACTTCGGAAAAAAAGATTAACACCGTAGTCGTTTGGTAGCATGTCTTGAGGCGTGGAGAGTGGGAGGAGCCGGCCAGAGGGTTTCGGGAATGGCAGCACAAAAAGGAATTTGCTGCTCGATTCACATCGAGTGCAATAGCCTATTTCGAGCAATGTCGATGTACGCAGTGCTCTACATGCGCGTAGGCGCATCCATCTGCGGGCGTGTATGCAGCAGAGCAACTGAATACTAAAGTTTTGATCGCTTCGTTAGCTCGACAGCAAAACTAAACCCTAGAACCAGTTCTCTCACACGTCGTTCTTCAGGTTTCAACAGGAGCCTTTGAGGTGACGAATAACTTGAGCGTAAAAGCATGTAGAGAACGCCTCAATCTAGCTGTCTCAGTCTGAGAGCGGAGTGTTCGAGAGAAATCGCAATTTGTTGATGCAGTGGGTTGGGAGCTTATCGTAGGCGGTTTAGGGGACCCCCAGCCATTCGCTTATGGCTTATAGGCATGCCGATTAGCATGAGAATATGTATGGATAAGCATGTATACAATTTCTCCCATCGATTGCTTATGCTCCATCATGGCTAGGCTGGGCCCAACAAATAGTACGAACAACCGGAAACGAAGCTTCTAGCTAAACAGCTACTCAACCTTCTAGTACTTGCAGCAATAAATCGGCAGTGCTTAAGTTGTGCGCTTTTTGTATTCTGCCTAGCTCAAGCGCACGCTTCAGCGTTTTACGTTTACTGTTGACAATTTGGCCGTCTGACTGTCCCTGGTAGGGGACAAACACTCGGGATTGGTTGGACACTGTTCCGACCCGATAATGACTGCTTCTTGAAGGCGCAAGTACGAAATTGTTTTTAGGTAGTAAAAATTCATCTTTGAGCCATGGAAACTTAGGCAGAATGACAGACAAGGCTACGCGGCTCCGCCCCTGGAGTGACCGTTTATTGCAGTGCATCCAACAGGGCAGGCTCGAGGTCGATAGGAACCACACGCAGCCTTAGCTTCCACACCAAAATTCAATTCTGTCTGCATGGGCACCTTGCAAACTATTTTGTGCCTGTGTCCTCTATTAATTCCCTTCCTTTACCCCCTTCTTCGAACCGTTTTCTTCGCATCGGGTGTTCCTGGACCTGCATGCTGGTATTCACGCCGAGCGACTGTCTGTACCTCGAAAAATGTTGCGTGTGCATATTCTCTCGTTGAGTCTCCTGAGCTGCGCAGTATTTGGCATGGGCAGCCCGATCCGCGGGTCTTCTGGTTCTACAAGCATGGCGGCTGCGGCTTCTAGACTTTACAACTCGATAGCCGCTACGAAGGCGGAAGAGGGGGAGCCGAACTTTGTGTTCTCGCCCTTCAGCATTCTTTCCGCCTTCCAAGTAGCTCAATTGGGAGCTCGGGGAGCCACAAGAGAGGAAATGGAAGGGCACTTCCCCTCCTCCTCTCGCATTGAGCTCCCTGCCTTGCGTGGCGCCCCCGATGCCTGGGGAGCCCTGCCGCTTATGGAGCTGGAGACTGCAAACAGGATGTATGTGGAATCCTCCTCGGCCTCAGATGAACAATTTGGCCACTTCGCCCAGCAGGTATCCGAACGGCTCAACTGCGATGCTGTGCCCACGGACTTCGAGGACTCTGCGGCGGCGGCTGCTGCCATCAATGCATTTGTAGAGGGCAAGACGAAAGGGCACATAAAGCACATTGTACCTGCTTCTGCTTTGACACCGTCCAGTCGGATGGTTCTGGTAAACGCTTTGTATTTCAAAGCTCCTTGGGCTTCGCCCTTTTCGCCACACCGGACTGCTACCGGACCTTTTTACGTGAATGATACGCGGACGGGACGTAGCGAAGTGCAGCAGGTGAAGTTCATGCAGCAACGACTGGAGGAAGACTTTGGTTTGTTCGAATCGGACAAGGTGAAGGTCTTGTCTATGCCTTACGCGGACCCACGTTGCCGCCTGTATTTGTTTTTGCCAAACAGCATCGCGGCGTTTGAACAGGAATTGCAACAAAAACCCGAGACTACCGAAGAGCTTGTCAGCCTAGTGGACAACACTCCCTCTTCTGACGTGGTGCTGGATTTGTCCCTCCCTTTGATTAAACTTGCGGCGGAACGAAACCAAGTGGGCCTCGTAGACGTGTACAAACGTTTGGGCGTGCAACTCATGTTCGACGAGGACAAGGCAGATTTTTCAGGGATTTCCGGTAGCAGAAAACTTTTCGTTTCTTCTTTTCTTCACCAAGCAGACATGCAGTGGGATGAAAAAGGCACCGAGGCGGCTGCAGCCACTGCTGTGATGTTCGCCGACTCTGGTCGAGGGCGTCCGAAGCAGGAGAAGGTTTTGGTTGCCAACGTCCCTTTCCTCTTTCAACTCCGATTCAAAGAGGATGCAGGTTCGCACCCGGTCGTGCTGCTTGCGGGCAGAGTCATTGACGCCAAGGCTGCGCAGTGACCAACTTCCAGCTGCAGCTGCAGCGCCAACAACAGACCGCCGCTGCTGTGCCAAAGGCAACCGCGACGAAGTGATGTGGCAACAGTAGCATAGTGCTGTAGCAGCAACGGCAGCTTGCTGCTACTGCACCTGTAGCAGCATTGGCGGCAG